CTAAACCCCAAACCCTAAACCGTGACGGCATGCATGCCCTGCAGATGTCGGCTGCACACCGAAATATGCAACGCAAACTCGGAAGCCTCAACCGTTTGAACCCAGAACCTGGCTTAAAAAACTAAAACACGGTTGAGGGTTTAGGGTTTAGGATTTAGGGTTTAGGGTTTACTTAAAACCCTCACACCCCAAACCCGAATACTCTATAAACCGTCGCCGAAGATTGGAAGCAACCCTTAAAGGAGTAACCCGTGAAGCAGCCCTGAAATCGGAGCCCTTAAACTGCAAGACAGCCTGACCTACAGCTGAGCCGAAAGAAACCCTTGAAGGGAACCACCAAAAACAGGAATCCTTGAAGGAGCCGGGCCCCTGGACCCCAATAATTCGTACCCTCTAAAACCGCAAAGGCCTAAATCCGATACAACCCCAAAAAATGTAAAAAAGCTTAAGAACCCTGTATATATATAGCAGGAACCCTTGAAGGAGCACAGGACCCTCAACCCTCAAGCCTCAACGGCCCTAAACCCTTCGTCTCTCTAAACCCTGAACCCTGAAACCCGACAGCCCAAACCCTAAACCCTAATCCCCTTAACCCTCAACTCCCAAACCCCAAACAAACTCTGAACCCTAAAGCCCTAAACCCAAAACGCCAAAACCCCTAAACCCTTAAACCCCAAAACCCCTAAACCCCTACACCCCTAAACCCCAAAACCCCTACACCCCAAACCCGAAACACTAATCCCCTTGACCTTCACCCCAAAATCCCCAAAAGCCTAAACCCCCAAACTGCCAAACCCCAAAACCCCAAAACCCAAAACCCCAAAACCCTAACCTCTATGTAAACCCCCAAACCCTTAAACCCTAAACCCCCAAAACCCCCAAACCCCCAAACCCCTACTGCCAAACTCGAAACCCTCAACTAAACTCCTAGGCCCTGCCTCACCCAAACCCCTAAACCCTCGGCCCCTACTGTAGGGGCCTTAAATGATAATAATAATAATAATAGTAGTAGTAGTAGTAATAGAAATAATAATAATAACAATAATCATAATAATACTTAATAGGGTTTTGCGTGTAGGGGCCTTCACAATTAGAATAGGGTTTTGGGGTTTGGGGTTTAGGGGTTTAGGGTTTAGAATAGGGTTTTGGGGGTATAGTATACCATAATTATGATAAGGAACCCCGCAAAATAGCATAGACAATTATTTAGGAAACCATAGTACACCCCAAACCCCCTAAACCCTAAACCCTAAACCCTAAACCCCAAACGCTTGGTCCTTGTACATCTGCAGCGGCCTGGCATCGTTTGGCTGAAAGGGAGCCGGGTCGTAGGTCGAGTCGCGGCCGAAGCCGAAGGCGTCCTGGGCTTGGGGTCTACACGGTTTTGGGGATTAGGGGTTTAGGGTTTAGGGTTTAGGGTTTAGGGCTTAGGGTTTAGGAGTTAGGGCTTAGGGTTTAGGGCTTAGGGTTTAGGTCGAGCTTAGGGACTGGGGGTTTAGGGTTAAGAGATTTCGGATTTTAGGGTTTCGGAGTTTAGGGTTCGGGCTCGGGGTCTTGCGGGGTCTAAGTTTAGGCACGAAGACTCAATCAAAGTAGACACTTGGGCCCGGAAGACACCAAGCAGGTTTCGAGCCCAAAGTATATTCAGGCTGAGTACCTGCCGTGCGGGACATGCTTTCGGGTTTGTGGAGCCGAAGGTTAGTTGAGGAACCCCATATACAGCGCGTAAAGCTCTAAAGAATAATAGGACCTCTGTCACGCAGACCCCTTAAGGTAGCTCCCCACCAATCATGTGAGGACTCAGGTAATCTTACGCTACCCTAAACCCTAAACCCTAAACCCTAAACCCTAAACCCTAAACACTAAATCCTAAACCGTGGCTTGAACTTTGGGATAGCGCTAGCGGAAAAGTGCTTCAAGCAAGAGGATGGCCATCCAAGGGTTCGGGTTCAGGGTCTGGGGCTTAGGGTGTAGGTTTAGGGTTTAGGGTTTAGGGTTTAGGGTTTAGTGTTTAGGGTTTAGGGTTCCCCTAAGCCCCCAAGCTAAACTTTCACCCTGCCCTAAACCTACACACTCAAGCCTGAGCCCTAAGTGCTACACCGTTCTCTACTCTCATCCTCGTCCCCAAGCCTTTTATTGGGGTTTAGGGTTTAGGGT